GAATTATCTATCTTGAATTATGACTAAACACGAAAAAAAACACAGAATTTCGAAGCTTAACTTATTTTTACAGTAATTTTCATCGTGAGTGGATGTGCCTACAAGGATCTTCATATGAATTATATAACATATGTTATTTGTAAATCAACAGATTTACAAATAATGTAGGATAATAATTTAGTTCTATCCTTTTCAGGCTGCATGACAACGTTATATTTATATTCGTACTGAGTTTAGTTACTATTGTACCTACATATGCAGTACGATAAGAGTTAAATGCAAATCAATTATTAAACCAAATCTTTCAAAATCACAATTTACGATAATTTTTTTAAACTTTGTTCAAGGCAAATTGTCTGAAAATCAGCTGCCCTGACTTTTAGGTTAATATGCTAATAATAATAAGTCTGTGAAGGCCTTTGTAGCAATTTGAAGATGGCTTTTTACACATCATGGCTGGTTCATATCATACAACAGCTAGAAACCATTCAAATTTTCCGAAAAAAAAAACAAGTTATATATATAAAGTAAAGATCAAAGTGGTCCGAAAACTTCAAACTTTATTACTTGATTGCGTAAAACTAACTTCAAGTTAAGGAGGCGTAGCAAAATGATATCATTTGAAATTGTGAGGAAGTTTAAGTGATACTTTATTTGTCTTTGCATAGAACGTTTAGAGTCAGTAAACGATTAAAAAAACTCCTATACGTCTGTTTCTGCCTATCCGAAAATTTGTGTGAAATTGGTCTCAAAACTCAAAAATTATCTTGTCTATTTCTGTACAGCAAGTGCAAGTGAAAAGTGCAAGTGAAACTCGGTAGACTCAGAGTGCAGAGGCTTCGTTAAACATAATAAGAGTGTGTACGCGTAACGTGGATGTATGCATGGTTACCATGTTCAATGTCATTGAATACTATGTGTAGACGTGACCAAAGGCACACCGTATCTGTGGAGGCAGGCGTGAAAAAACATACAGGAAGATTCGACCGTACGTGTCTGCACGCATTAACTTCAAAAGTAGTTAATATTTGCCAAAAAATAATTTTGGCGTCTGATGAAGAAACAGCTTCCATCACCCGATTTACAGCTGTCAGTGTGATTGAGCACTATTTTTACTGTGTTTAATAGTTTTCGACGTGTTGAGAAATTTCTGTGACTGAAATTAAATTAAAAGCTTTAGATATGAACCCAATTTATAACCTCGAAAGTGCGTTAAACAGCTTACTGTCAAACAGCTTACTGTATTAAAATTTTACTGTAGATTTCCAACCTGCGATCTTGTTAAAATATGCGAAATTAGTTTTCGCCCAAGCTAATTGGCCCAGAAGACTTATTCCAGTAGTCCATTACGTCATAAGATGACCTAACTTCATGAGAATAAATTCAATTACAGTAAACAAGCACTTCATATATTATTAAAACGTTAATTGTGAAGAACGTCAGATTCATATATTTATGGACGATTAAATCTCACGATACTTCCGCAATGAAGCTGTTTTTGAAAGATTGCTTCGTTATATACGTTATATATATATATTATATAAAGTTTGTATCATGGTTGAACTAGTATATAATTCAACCATAGTTGTATAATCCGTTCAATCGCGCAGGAGCAAATATTATCATCCAGCATCCGGATTGTAGGGCTTCGTTCAGAACTTCAGTTGCGTGTTCGCTCATGGTGGGGGAGATATCCCACAACGACGAAGAACTGCTGTAATACGTCATCTTGGACAATACCTGCTGAGATGCAGCATGGTGAATACCCTTTGAAAATACTCAGTGCCTAATTCTCTTGTCTCTTCTACACAATAATCACCGGTTGGTGAGCAACAGAAACCCAAATTGAAAGTAAAGTGGCAAGATAATACAAGTTTTCAACAAAGAGTTGTGCTCAGGCTGGGAGGTGTGATATTACTGATATATTCATACCCGAAGTCTTAAAATCAATTATAAAAAAAAAAAAAAGTTGCGTGTTCCTGACAATGGCGATGGTTCCCAGGTCAGCCTGTAAGTTACGCTTTGCTTTGCTGGCGTTAATTTCTTTACAACAATTCTCTTTAACTTCACTTCTTGTTTGTCTGTCTGAGTGTCTGTTACAAATATTATAATCGAAATTTAACACACTTCTACTTATCCTATCGATCTGAAATTTTGCACACTTGCGTAGCCGTAAACGTAAAGTTGGAGTCTACAATGTTGGAATCAAAGACAAAATAAATGATTTTAAAAATAAAATAGAAAATTTCTCAATATTAAAAAATTTGAAAATATAATTTTGTCAGCTTACTCAGCTAGTCAGCTACAAATCTTATAGCTGATATTTGACACACTTTTTAAGTTTTACCTGTCCTGTCCAATTGATCTGAAATTTTGCACACTTGTGTGAACAGTGAAGTCGGAGGTGAGCCTGTGAGTGTTAGGCAATGCATGAATGAATTGACAGAATAAATAATTTTGAAAAAAATTTTATATATTAAAAAAATTTAAAAATTATTTTTTTAATAGTGGGAAGTAGCTAAAATGAGAAATTCATTGTACATATTTAACATTATGATTGGAGACACTGGATTATTTAGAAGTGTTGTCTTTAAAAAGTAATTTTTAAATGTATATTATTCTAACACTTCTCTTTAACTTCCCTTCTTGTTTGTCTGCTAGTGCTACAGCCTACAAATGTTATACCTACATTATACCCAATCAATATTAAACACATTTCTACCTGTCCAATTGATCTGAAATTTTGCTTACTTGTGTAAAGTCAGACAATGCATGAATCAATTGATAGAATAAATAATTTAAAAATTAAATTTTTTTTTAATATTAAAAAAATTTTTGAAATGATTTTTTTATAAATAATTTAAATGTTGGTTTTTCAATCATTCAATGTTTATTTATAAACATAAGTAACATTGTTTTATTAAAGACATGCCAATGGTTTGTAAATAATGCCTATTTATCATTTTATGCATCATAACTGGATCCCAATTTAGAATATTTGGCAGAATTTTTGAAAATTGTTGATCAAAATAGGCAGATTTTCTTAGTCTCTAATGATCACAGGTAGGTAATGGCATGATATATGGCATTGATTTGAAGCCATACTAGTAGAATATTGGGTAGAATTCTCTAATTTGTGGGTAAAGACAATCATTCGATGGTCGATTCAAAAATTGAAAGATAGGTACCTGTATAACTAAAGAAGATGTTGTTCTCTGTAGTTCCTATTAGAGAAAATGCCAAGGCAATAGAAACATGAGGAATTGTCCACAATTGTGCTTTTGTCTCATTCAGAGCAATAGGTACATTAATTTAAACTTTGAATAGTGATTTTTTGGAGTTGCAAATTTTTTTATAGAAACAGAAGCACAAAATTGTAAATGTCGTTGCAGTATAATTTTTGGGGGGTTCAACAGTGTATGAAATTTTAGACTCAAACATAATTTGTGCTTAACAAGCTGCTAAATTTCTGATTTGCAAGCTGCAAATCAATATGTGATTCTTGAGCCAAAATAATTCTTTTTAGGTCATTATTACCCTTTGTTAGGTACCCATAATCATGAGATTTTTATTGGGATATATACCTAGACTGTGCTGAAAATTTCTGATCCGTTCAAAATACATGACTATGAAGTGTGAGATATAAAAAATACATTGTTTTTGCATCTCGTCCTGACACATAATGGTCAGGAAGGTAAATTTACCAAATCCCACTGTCAGGTGTGGACATTTGATCCTATACATTAACAAAGCCACAACGAGTGCTTACCTGGAATTTACAAACCCATAAATTTTACACTACTGTAACATGTGGTGACTTGGACCATTGAATTAGAGCTTACCTATTTGTGATGCAAATAGTCACATAGTAAATATATAGTATTATAAATCTCTTGATTGCATTTGTAGGTTATTCCATGGTACTTCCAAGAGCCATCAACAATTTTTCTATGGCAAGAACTTCTTGATTAACGGGTTTGCTTTTCTTGAATGTCAAAACGGTCCAAGTCACCCCATCAATGGTCCAAGTAGTCAAATTAAATCTTACTTAATGAAATTTTATCAACATTTAAATTGTATTTCTTAAATTCTTATAGAAATTAATAACTATTTATTACTAATGCAATAAAAAAATTTTTTACAATGTTCAAAATGATGAGCAAACAATTTTAATTTTAAATTAATTGAAGCAGTATATATCTTTTCAAATAAGATCTTTTGTCTTTTCAATAATATATATTTCAAATAAAGGATTGCTTCATGTTTTAGTAATATATTTTTATTTTTCAGAGCCAGACTGAATGAGTGGTTTGCACTCATTGAGGGAGAATTTGAAGCTCTATATGCTCAAAATATTGCATGTAAGTAATCTATTAGATGCCTTTGGAAATTGACCAATTCTAGCATTAAAAAACAGACATTTTTACCTTTTTAAACAACAATTTAGAACACAAATTTATAATGAAGCAAGGTTTATCATATTTTAAAAGAAAATATTACAGAGACAAGCTCCATTATAACTTCAAAATCAATAAAAGCTTATTAAAAGTACATCTAAGGTCATCTGTGGAATGTTTCCAATGAAAATGTGACTTGTCATTTTGTAATTTTTTTACTTGTCATTTTGAAGCTATCAAATTTATAATTGATTTATGCTTCAGGCTAGCTAACAATTTCAAATATTGATTGAATTTGCTTCTATTAGTGCAGCTGATACTGGAGCTAATGTTTTATTATATTATTGTAAGTTTTCTTTAGCCATTTTTAACTTTTCTTCTCTCTTTGATTTAGTGCAAGAAAAAGTGGAGAGGCTCAGTGAGCAACTACAACAGAAAGAAGATGAGAGCAGCAAGCACAATTCTCTGGTTACAGTCAGTGATGCAGCTACCAATCAAAGCTCACTTGTTCAGTTTGGTGGCAATCTTTATGGAGGGAATGTATCAACGGTGGACTCTCCTGCCATTACCTCAAGCAGCAGTGCTGGACTGGCAGCTGGTCTCTCTGCCAAGCAGCGTTCTCAATTGCCACCTCAGCCTCATCAGCTTAAAATGCCCAAAGGTCAGTGTATTTAAATGCTTGTATTTAATAATGCTTCAAGCCTGTAGACTTATCCTGTAGATCTATCATTAACAATATCATTCCACAAAATGTGTTATGTTTTTTGAACAATTTCTTTTCCCTTGTTTTGCAATTTATGTCCTTCAGATAGCTGAACAAACTTTATCTTAAGCTAATTTTATAATTGATGATTCAAGTTTTCCAAATAAACTGTGCAGTTTGGAAACCTTAAATTATCATTTAGAAATGATTCTTTACATTTTTATTCATATTTCCCCAGTAGTTAGAATATTGAGGTTGAATGTGTAGAGAAAAAATTGATACAATTTTTAATTGTTCTGAAATTATTTACATGTTTTTAAATGCATCATTAAATGCAGACTTTTTCTGAATTATCAGTTACATTCAAAGATGTTCTTTGGCAGCTATTGGCAGTAGCAAGAGCAAGGCTGCTGTCAAGCTCCGCGTACAGACATCCCGCATTGTCTCGTCTTTCAAGACCTCCCCTGTGCAGTGCAGAATGGTTCGGGAGTATCTTGGCCACAGGTACTGTGTATATAAATGTATCATTCAGAATTTATATAGTGATTTATTAACATTAATTATACTTTTTTATGAATATTGTTCTAATGAGGAAAAATATCAAACTTGAACATTTTCTCAATAGCCATTGTTTAAGTTTACTATTATCTATTGGGGTAAACGTAGAGTTGTTTTTCATGTATTTGAAGTACATTACTCATTGCAGAGATGGCGTGTGGGATGTGGACACAATACTGAGAGATGCACTTCTACTGGCCACTGCTTCTGCGGGTGAGTTTTGCATCGAGTATTTAATGGATCAAAGAAATCTCTCTTCATGGCCATTATTTTTGAGTTAATTTGTACAGTAATTACTTCTTTTAGACGATTCCATTGGGTTACATTCTCATCCAGGAGGAAAAGACACTACTTTAAATTTATCATCTCAGTGTCTTGCCAAGATGTACACTAACAATTTTCTCACTTAATGTGTTTTTTTCTTTCATCTTGAACTGTCAAACAACGAGTACAGACACCTGTTGAGAATTCGGTTATATTCCATTGCAAATCTGCTTTTCACACTAGTAAATTTCGTCCTTATCTTTGAATTTTGTTTTCATATCGCCAAAAACCTATGTTATTGAGTTATTTCCATACAGATCAGACTGCGTGCATTTGGGATGCAGACTCTGGACGTGTAGTACTGCAGTACACCGGACACTCGGGTTCAGTGAACAGCGTCAAGTTCCATCCTTCTCGTGAGATTGTCTTGACTGCTTCTGGGGACCACACAGCACATGTCTGGCAGGCTGCAATATCACATGATCATCTTGTTAGTTTTGAAGCAGCTCTACGTGGTTGAAAATTATCACTTAGAATGTTTTCTTGAGACCAAAAATTTCAACTTCATTTTACATTATTCTGATTTTCAAACTTTCTGAAAGTTTTGCACATAGTATTATTAAATTATTATTTAATACATTATAATTGTTCTCAATAACAACGCTTTAATGTACATTTCTTTTATAATATAGGTACAAGTACTGGTAACAATGATTGAAATTACACAGATATGAATTTAAAGAAAATCAACTAATAGTTATTAATTTTATTGAGAACGCTGAGACTGCTGTATGGTTTGTGCAGTTCCAAATTTACCTCTGATGCACCATCCAATTCATGAGAAGTTTGCCGTGTCTATTTAGACTGTGATGCCAATCCCAACTTATTCGGTGATTTTTTATCAGGTTCTTAAACTTATAGTGGGCACCTGGTTGGATTTTATCGCTGATGTTCCCTGTTGCATATGTTTTTTTTTTTTCGTCTTCTATCCCGTTGTTTCATGTTGAGTTAGTGATCATATGTTCTCTAAAGTGATTCTCAAATGTAGTTTTCTTCTGCGAAAGTTGCATTCTAGTCATGTTATTTAATTTAAACAAGGCAAGTTGCGTCTGAGTTTTACTGCTATTTCTAGTGCTTAGTTTGATTTTCTGTTACCCAGTGATGAAGTTTTGTTACATGAGGTGATTTCGGCAGAAATCTTCCGATTCTTTAAATACTGAACATGGACGTTGTCCACTTAAGGCACTAAGAGTTTACTGATGAAATTGGTCGAGATCATGTTATCCTTCAAGTACTATGGAGAACTGACTGTATTTGTCAACTGTTACTAAATAATTACTACCAATGGCCGCAAAGATATCAACCTTCAAATATTGCCAGAATCTTTGAGGTACCGGTAGTTTACGCAACAGTACTAACTATGTCAGTAGATTCTTTGCAGTGACTCACTTGTAAAACACTGGTCTACAAAATGCCTGAAATCACAGAGCTTGTTTGATCTCAAGGAATCCATTTTCACTAAATGAGATTCATCAAGGTTTCTGGTTACGAAAAAGTGATAGCCTATTAAATGAATATCTAGAAGGCTTTTAATTAGCTAAGCTGCTCAAATTTAAATTAGTAATTTTAGCTGCATCGAATTAATGACCTCGCTCATACTTAATTTGTATTTAGTTTAAATTACAATGTATATGCATTAAAATAGACATAATTCCGCAACAGCGCGTTCAGTCTTCAGAAGATGAGGTGGAGGGCAGTGGAGAAGATGAGGAAGATGGAGGTGGAGGAGTGGAGGGAGGTGGTTATCGGACCCGTCACTCCACGCTGCGCACTCCACTCCTGGAGCTGCGTGCTCACTCTGGTATGATGAGCAAAAATTCAACGTGAATAAAATTTTTGTTTTTTGCTTCCATACTCAGATAATATATTAGCAGTAAGTTCTTCTCATTGTTAAGAATGCTACATTACAGAATGTTAAGAAATGTGTTAAGAATGCTATTTTCCGTGAACTTCAGTTCCGGTCAGGTTGATATTGGATAAAAATGCCAAAAAACTTGACTACGTGAACAAAAAAGGCAGGGAAAATGTAATAAAATCATTCAAACTAATTTATGTCAACAACTATATGTCAAACAGCTTACGACCCCCCAAAGATGTACCTACATGAAAGATTTGATTGAAACACTTATATACATTACTCGTCTATTCAAAGCTTCTAAATTGGAGTCAAATTATCTCGGCATAGAGTTTACTGTTATTAAGATGCTACTAACTTTAAACCGTTTGATGCGTTAGGTTGTTTCCATGGGAAACTACAAGGTTGCAGTTGAGTCGTTAGCAAATGTCAACAGCTCTTGGCCTGCTTTAGGAATTGTAAGCAGTTTTTCTGATCAATGCCTTCGCCCAATAGGTATTTTCAACTTTCTAATTACTCTGTTTAATATTTAATAAAGTATACTTTCACTAAACCTCTCATGATAAAATTATGCAATATAATGTAGGCAAGTGAATATGGAAAAAAGTCTTGTGTCAGGTCAGCTATGAGAAAATGATGACACTCCCTTGTTTAACGCCTGTTCCTCTTTCCCAGGTCCATGTTCAAATCATATATTTATGTTTTAAAGTATAAAGTTACCTAATTATCTGATGATTCAAATCCTTTCCAGCCATAGTTTGATCAGTTTTTCATGTAATTTGATGGTGATGTATGTTACTACCTTAAGTTAGCTCTTCAACTTTATTCCTTCTGGTGTAAGATGTTTTTGTGAGATAGTATGAAACAGTTCCAATCATATCTTCAATTTTGCTCTGTTAGCCATTTGTTGGACTTAATGCATAATATTCACAGTTAAATGCTAGAAAATCGCAGAGTTGTCGTTTTATAAACATTCAATGTTTGTATTTGTGCAGGTTATGCTGCTCCTCTCTATTTATATTAATATATATAAAGATTAATTCAAGTTCACATAGGTATTAATAGGGTGATTGAATATTGTTATGCCACACCATAAGAGTTGCTAATGCTTATTAAGGAATATCATGTAAGGTAATGCTGAATTGAGCTGAACATTTAATTTCAGATGGTTAATGTATTATTCTTGGCTGCAGGTGTAGTGAGTGCAGCTGACTGGATGGCAGGCGGAGAGCAGGTTCTTACAGCAGCATGGGACAGACTCGCCTGTATATATGACGCTAACACTGGCCAACTCACTTCTCAACTCACAGGTTGTAACTCAGTCTTGTTCGGCTCTTATTTCTTAATATTTGTAATGAATGTAATTCTCATTTCCCTGGTGCACCTCATGCTAAAATTAATGTATTGTGTTACTTTTGTCTGCAAAATCATCTATTGAAAGCTGTAACAGTTTTGCCTCATCATAAACAAAGTCGTTTGCTGTATTTTTAAGTAATTTAAATTTATATTGAAATGATGAGTACCTTACTTGATGCTGTAAATTGGAAGATGAATAGAAGTTGCATCATCAATTCTCAATTGCTTATATCATATGATTTATGGCTCAAATCTTGATGTTTTTCCGTTTAAAAATTCCTAATTTTAAATGTAATTCCAAAGCATGCAATGAAATCAGTTCCATTTTTTCCCTCGAAAATGATAGTTTGATATCGACAGATGAGTCACGGTATTTTAATTCTATTTGCCTTACTGCCCTATAATTTATTTAACCTTTCGTGGTGATATTTATGTATCATGGTGACGTACATTTAATTTAACGCTATTGTGGGACGCCCAAAGTTAAAGAAAGGGTGTTTAATTAAATATTTTCCGCAGGTCACGACCGAGAATTGACTCACTGCTGCTGCCACCCAACACAACGGCTCATAGCGACGGCTTCCCAGGACACCACCTTCAGGCTCTACGACTCCAGAGATCACAGACACACCGTCTCCGTGTTCCAGGGACACACTGAGTAAGGGACCTGGTAACACTTTAGAGGGCCTGGTAGCACTTTACAGGACCTGGTAGCACTTTGACTAATGTGCTTGTGCAGTTGGGGCCGCGCTACCAAAACTCACTAAGTATACGTGTCGTCCTAAGTGCATGTAGCATTGGATTTCTTGTCTGTGATGGTGGGTTTAGCTTAAAAAGCTATCGGCGGCAAAGTTACAAACTCTTAACTATTGTCTTTATTTATTGTCACTGGTTGAAGTATCCTATCAGCTTTATTTCTGTTATTGAAGTGACACTAATAACAGAAACAGAAGTGACTACCAATTAGCTTTTATGAGTACTCCCTTAAATGAGAACTCTATATATAAAATGTTGTAGGGTATCAATTGTTTGTGATTATTTTACACATTCCTCATTCTAAAAATAATTATAACTTGCGTGACTTTGTTTTTATTCTGCACAATTTTCCACCTTCAATTTCCTTGTGGCGTCTCACACCCCTAATTCTTCACATAACCCTACCCCTCGATCCCTCACATGCCTCCCACCTGCAATCGCTCACATGCCTCCCACATGCAATCCCTCACTTGCCTCCCACCTGCAATCCCTCACATGCCTTCCACCTGCAATCCCTCACATGCCTCCCACATGCAATCCCTCACATGCCTCCCACCTGCAATCCCTCACATATCCCACCAGCAATCCCTCACATATCCCATCAGCATTCCCTCACAAGTCTGTAACGATGAGCTTGTTTTCAGAAGCGTGACGTCGGTCTGCTTCACCAAGGAAGACGTTGTCGTCTCGGGATCAGATGATCGCAGTGTCAAAGTAAGACTCTAACTTAGCCAGGTTTGTTAATTCGAAACATAGTTTATGCACATGACATCATGACAATGTGAGTTTAATATGTGCTATAGACTGAATGATTGAGTAACAATAAATGTCGATGAAGCAGAAAACTACTACATTGGAAATCCGATTTTGGAGTACGTTTATAAATTATTTTCTATTAGATCCATTGTTTTATTTGCGTTGAATATAATGTAGAGAGTTTAGACCTGACATGTGCTACAAAAAGTCCATTGCATCGGAAGGTCACTAGTTCTGTTCTATCTATACCTGAATGTTGTTTTTCCTCTATTTGTCTTGGTAAAGATTTCTAAAGCTGTTTGCCAATAGCAGTCGGAAATACTCTGTGAACCTCACAAAAGTGAATAAATATTGCAAATAAGCTCCTTTCAAAACCGGTAATGCGCTTGACTTATTTTTATTATTGTGTTTGTTAAAGTGCATTCACTTACTTGCTTGTTTGTTCAGACTTTGAAGACATTCTAAGCCTGAATTTCTTCTCAGATACCTTTTGCGCTGGCCACACATCTGTGGCAGTTACAAACCGGCAAAAAAATGTCGTAAAAAATCTAAGATCAAATCAACATTTTCTAGCGTTCGTGCCACGTTTTTTCAATAACGGCGAGAGTTACTTATATGTACTAGATTACCAATATGAAGCTTCATTAACATAAATGTTTGTCAAGGTGTGGGATATAAAGAACATGCGCTCGCCGCTCGCCACGATGCGCTTGGACTCGCCAGTAAACCGCCTGGCGGTGTCACCGTCTGGCTCCATGATTGCCATACCTCACGACAACAGACAAGTTCGTCTCTACGACCTCAGCGGACTCAGACTCGCTCGCCTGCCTCACAGCAACAGACAGGTGACTCATATTCCATTAATTCATCGTGTGTTGTGTTACTGGTGACTCTTACGTCGTCAATTTATCGTGTCTGATGTTGAAAGCTACTTTTGTCCCATCAATTCATTATTTCTTGTGTTATTAATGGTGACATTTTCCGGTCAATCAATTGCTGTTGACGCAGTTAACTTGAATAAATAGCTTTCACTTGACCGTGTTGTGAACTACACTTCCGTTTTAATGTCCATATTGTTATGCTACTAATTCTGTGTGAATTTATTTAAAAGGTTCAGAGTATTTGTCTGTGCTTCATTTATTCAGAAACGTCTTAGGAGTTTTGACTGTGACAGATATAGTAGTTTATTAATGTCGGATTCTTTCTTCTAATGTCTTTACATTTTTTTCATATTCTTTATATATGTTTGTGTTCCTTGTTTTTTCTTTGGACTGTTTTGGCAACAATATCCGTTTCTCCAACTTTATTTTTTAATCAATAACATTTGCTTGCTTTTTCGTTATTAGCATATTCCATGAATTGCTCTAGCATCGGATTCAATTAACTTGCTGGTTATAATCTTCACATGCATTGTGTACAATTTCTTTGCGCAGGGGCACCGACGGATGGTTTGTGCTGTGGCCTGGGCAGACGACGCGTATCACCAGCTGCATCACACATCCTCCTCTGGCGGCGGCGCTGGCGCCACTAACACCTCGGGCGGCAGCATCGGAGCTGTCGCCTCGTCCGCGGTTGTTAGCACCGGACCGTCGCCGGGCTCCGGCGGTCGGGACTCGATTGTGTCGAGTGCGGGGCCTGGCAATCAGCCGTGCTTACTTTTCACTGCCGGTTTTGACAGACGAGTCTACGGCTGGGAGGTCTCCACAGTCAAGGAAAAAGAGTGAATCTATTCGAGACTATAGCTTCATTTTGATGTTCAAACGGCATTGGATTAAAATCTCTATTCATATATTGGTACTTGGTCTCTGTATGCCTACGGGCCTGCAGTCTTTGTATGCGTACTGTTATATTCGCGAGAATGGTGATGTCTTCGTCGTTCCCAAATACAGTAGTGGTACAGTCTCCATGTGTTTTCTGGTGTTAGCATCACCAAAAGTATTTGTAACGTGTCTCCAATGTATCCATAATGTATAAATTTTTTTATATTTGTCTACGAGAATACCCCGAAGCCTTTTAAATACATGGTCTTCAGAAATCACGGTATTAATCCTAACATCAAGAGATCTTTCCTCTTGGAATCAAATTGTTGGTGTGGACGGCGATTTATGTGTGGTGTTATTGTGTTGCTTTGACGCTGAATGTCGCTGCTATTTACTATGGTTACCAATAATATCTAACTAGTCTTTCAATATTTTCATTAGCTCACTGTTGTATGATGTTGTCTTGCTGAAACGAGTATTTTATTTCTAGATAATTTTATCTAAGAAAATGTTCGCCTCGTTGTTAGTGAATTTTTGGGGTTGTCGCAAGCTTATTTTTTGCCATATATTTTTTTATTCATTTCTAACTATTTGAGAAGTTCTTGCACAGTTGTTAAAGCTAGCACATTTGTATATATATATTGAAAAGTGTGTTACTGTTTACTCGCGTCAGTACCATCTTTCATCTTCAGATTAATCCTTAATTTCACTGCGTACTGAAAGAACCATTTTGCCGTAAAGAATGAATTGATAACAAGTTTGGGTGAAGTGAACACATGGCTTCAACCCTACGCGTGAGGCCCTCGGTTGATTCTTTGTCATGGGACTTGTGTTCATAGTTTTTCTGTAGGCAGGATCTCTCGCACTAACCATCCTCTGGAGGCAGGATCTCTCGCACTAACCATCCTCTGGAGGCAGGATCCCTCGCACTAACCATCCTCTGTGAGGGATCTTGCACAGTCTCCCCCTTCTCTCGTTGTGATATGTCTGAATCTTGAAGGTCTCGCTCTCGAAGTTTGGCACCATTCCGGTTATCATTTTCCATGTGTACAGAATGACATACCTCTCCCGTCTCCTCTGCAGTGAGTACAGATATCTTCTTCGTTATCCGCAATCATCATTGCTTTCTCCAGGTCGACTGGGGCCTTGGGTAAGCTCTGCATTCGAAACGTAGCACCCCAGTTAGTGGTTAATTTTTTTGTCCCACGGCGCCATCGCCTTTCGGTTAAGGTGCACTACGTCGTTGATATTCTGGATTATTTTACTAACACTTACCACAGGCGGCAAGTGCATTTGCCCATCTTCTCCCAAGGCTATTGGAATCAGAATAATAACTTCGTTTCCATGATGAGGTGAATATAAGGTCTATTAAGGAAAAGCAGGTGAATGCCTGCCTATCGCAGCTGTCATTACTCAAAAAAGGTCAAAGCAAAAGCTAATTTCCATCTGATGGAGGTGACGGGTCAAATGAAAGTCAAATTACTTGAGCAGTTGTTTTATTACGGAACTGTGGCCTACGCCTGGCAAGGTGTTTACTACTAAGAGAAAATGATTGATGCCGATCACAATTCATTAAATGACTGCAATCTGTCGTTGTCCACAAGTTTTTTGTTCGCAAGTCGTTGACCACAAGACTTCTGACTATGGAAGACCTTGCCTTTATTACACGTTGAAAAGAAAAGCAGGATAAGACGGTAGTGGCTGCGGCAATTGCGACATAATAACAATGGTCGCGTAAGCGGTTGCCTCATTATGATGTGATGATAAGTCAAGTTTGTGGTATGTTGTCGCTACGTCCTATAATAATAAGCTTCACTGTGAGCAACGCGCATGTGATTCTCCAGTCCTTATTTCTTAAAGATAACCTGGCGAATAAAACCTCTACGAAATGTATACAACAAAATAAGCCAGGATTCGTCGAACTTTTAGTTTTGCTTCTTCAATTCTTTTATTTGACTCACAATTTTTCACTCTTTCTTCAAGCGTGCTGTCCGTCCGTTTGATGACGGCAGCGTTGACCTCATTCCTTATGGTACTAGTGCATTCAAGTACATAAGAAATACCTTCTACTAAGTTGTCCATCTTCCTATTAAGATGTTCTATCTCTAGATCGACTTTCACCATTGTCATAATGGCCATGGTTGACACGGTCCTCCCTGCATCTTCTGTGAGCTCGATGATTTCATCGCAATGCTTCTTTAGCATGCCCATGTTGTGTTTCCCAGTTTTAGCTACATTGGCTGCTATTACTTTCAGCTGTTCTTCATATTGGATATCTTCCTTAATAATCCTACGTTTGCGTTTCTCAATATCATCGCGTTTGCCGTCCGATGATCCAGATTTCGCCATGTGACATGTTGGATTTTCATCTGGTCGCATGCCTCGAAACTGCTTCTGCTGGTGGGCTGCAGGTCGCGGTGCGCGCACTTGTGGCTGAGGTCCAGCTGATCGCATTCTTGGTTGCTGAAATATTTATGAAAAATTATCTTGAGGGAAAACCTACATTACAAATTGCTAAAATAAGTACCGGTATAAAGGTCAGCAAGTGACTAATAGCTGTTCTCATGTCTCTTAATAAAAAAGCCATCTTTCATCTGCATTACCAGAATCATTTATGAACATTAAAATGAGTAACATTTCTAATTGAATACTTAGCCGAACAAACCATATTTATACTAGATTCATGTTTATACTAGATTTACTGTTAGCCACGATGTTTAGTTACCATTGGAGCAGCAGGTCGGAAGTGTTGAGCGTGGGATAGGGCTGCTGCACCGCACAGGGGCACATCAAGGCCACGGCCACGTGCCCGACCACTCATCTGATACACAAAACAAGACATTCAACACCAGCTCAACATTGATTAATGCATATATATTTATATAAATTTGTAGCACGAACTAGACGTTCTCTTTATGGTGTTTTTTTTTCCAAGAGAAAAAAATCTTGTAATCGTAATTTAATACACTTCTACTTATCCTATCGATCTGAAATTTTGCACACTTGTGTAAAGTTGGAGACAATGCATGGATCAAATGTCAAAATAAATTATTTTAAAAATTAAAGTTTTTTTTCAATATTAAAAAAATTGAAAAAATACTTTTGTCAGCTACAAATCTTATAACTGATATTTGACACACTTTTACCTGTCAAATTGATCTGAAATTTTGCACACTTGTGTGAAGTCAGAGGTAATGCATGAATCGATTAATAGAATAAATAATTTTGAAGAAAATTAATATATTAAAAAATTTATATA